CTTTAAAATACTTTTCAAACACTTTTATATGAATCTTAAAAATATTTTTTAAAATAATCACAAAAAGTCACCAAAAATTCAAACTATTAAGAAGTAGTTCCTTTTGAGGTAAAATATATGCACAAATGTGCAATAAAAACATACATATTAATATACTGCAGACTTAATGTCTCCAATATCACATTTGTACATACATAATGGTTTTTGTAGTGCATCATTTGTTGCAATAAAAAAAATAATATATTCTATTACTCTTTACTCCTATGATATGGGCCTTTCCAGTACAAGAAGATAAAGCAACAAAGTATATCGAAAAATTATTTGAGGGATTTCTTTACCATTCACTTCGTTACTAATCCATGTATATTAATTAAATAGACAAATAAAAACAAGAAAGTCAAAAGAAACAGGCGTATAAAAACAATTGTGTGTTGCAATAAGTTTGAACTGGACATCATACCAGTTGTGACTTGATCGAACATTGTTGCATGAGGTTGGGTGGATTTATTATAAATCCACCAGCAAAATAAAGTGGGTATTTCGTTTGTATGAGCGTGGCACTTCTTTGTACTATAGATTCTTTGGTCATAGTGTTCTTTTTGTATAGCAACTGTTTTGTTGCCTTTAACAGATTTAAGTATTAAAATATTTTTGTTCTGTTTTAAAAATTTTCGCGCTTGCTCCACTGTGCGCAATATGTATTTTTCCATAGGAGAATGTGTTATTTGTCTTTTATACCTTTCAAGCATACCGATAAGTTGTGTTAAGTAATAATAGTATTACAGAATATAATAATATTTTTAGGTATATAATTATAAAAACTGTTTGTAAATAGTGTAGTTGTTTATAATTTTTATAAATAGAATATAACAATTTTTTAGGCACATGAATATAAACATGTTTTTAGGTATGCAGTTGTAAGATTTGTTGGTACATTATTTATATATATTTTGTTTCTATATTTGTATTCATGTTGATTATGTTTGTACCTACATTGAGCTCGGTGTGTGTGGATGTATCAGGTTCGGCGCATGTGAGGACATCTGGCTGTGGTTGAGTTGTAGTTGCACAAACCACATTAATTTTCTATACACTATCAGTTAAATAAAAACACGTTGTTATTCTTGTGCACACTTTAGCTAGACTTTTTGTCTCTTCTTTTTATTGTTATCATTCTTATTATTAACTCTACACACTTTTTACCAAAAAACTACTTTTTGTAGTTTTCACCGCATTTGGCGCTTGGCACGCTTTTTGTGCTGCCACAATCACTCCCCCCTGCAGGAGATATTTTTCCATGGCTTGAAAAAAGTACCTTCTTCTTCGAGTATGTATTTGGGGGTTTATCCATGCCACCTTGTTTGTATGGTTGAAGAATGTCTTCTTCGGTCACTGGTTGATCATTCAGACTATCTGTTTTTGCTATAAAGGCTGGTTTAAGTCTATCGACCGATATTGTTTTTTCTTGCCCGTCAACCAGAATAACGAAGTTTCTGTCATCAATTCTTTTTTTAACTAAGTGAGGACCTGAGTATGGTGGAGTTAATGGTGGCTTTACTTCGTCCACTCGTAGAAAAACGTGGGAGCAATCGTAAATATTTTTTAAAAGAAATAATTTATTTTTTGCGTGGTGAGCTGTTGGAGTTGGACGGATTATCCTTATATATTGCCGATATTTTTCAATAAATTTTTCTGGATCTGCGGCTAAATCTTGATTTATAAAAAAATTCACCTGGAATTCTGAGCGGTGTGCCGAAAAGCATTTCTGCTGGAGATGCTTTTAAATCTTCTTTGAACACAGTGCGTAGACCCAATAATACCGATGGTAAAATATCTGTCCACGGAATATTCGGATGACACATTAAAGCTGTTTTTAAAGTTCTGTGCCACCTTTCAACCATGCCGTTTGATGCAGGATGGTATGGTGTGCTTCTGATTCTTTTTGCACTGACAGTGTTTAATAAAGCGTTGAATAAGGCACTTTCGAATTGAGAGCCTTGATCTGTAGTGATAGATAGAGGTGTTCCAAACATGCAAATCCAGTTATTAAAAAACGCATCAACGACTGTGGTCGCAGCGATGTCTTTAAGAGGAATAGCCATCGGAAACCTTGAGAATCGATCTATGATCGTTAAGCAATATTTATATCCCTTTACTTCGGGGAGATGAATTAAGTCTAAATGTATGTGATTGAACCTGTTATCTGGTACATTTATTTTTCTTGGAGTTAATTTGTTGTGCCTCTGAATTTTAGCACGCTGACATGGAATACACTCTCTGCACCAACGAATTGCGTCAGAACGAATGTTCGGCCATGCAAATTTTTCTTTTAATAACTTACTAGTTGTTCTACCGCTTGGATGCGCAAGACCATGTATGACATTAAAAGCTTCCCGTCGAAGAGACTTCGGAATATATGGTCGCACCAAACCAGTAGATGTGTCGCAATAAATATTAATATCATTTTCTATAAGTACCTTTTGTAATTTTAGTGAAGTTTCTTGTTTTAGGATTCTCGTCAATTCTTCATCGTTTTCTTGTTCTTGGCTTATTCTTGTTGCGCTTAGCAATGTTGGCATGCCAATAGAAGATATTCTTGATAATGCATCTGCTACAACGTTATCGTTCCCATTAATGTGAATGATTTCTGTTGAAAATTGAGAAATGAAGTCTAAATGCCGTAGTTGTCTAGGTGAAGCTTTCTCAGATTTTTGTTTGAAGGCAAAAACCAATGGTTTATGATCTGTTTTGATGACAAATACTCGACCTTCCAGAATATGCTGAAAATGTTTGATTGCAGAATAGATCGCTAACAGTTCTCTATCGTAAGTGCTATAATTTTGTTCAGCTATCGACATTTTTATCGAAAAAAAACCTATTGGTTTCCATTTATTATCTTCCATTTGTTCTAAAGATGCACCAATTGCAGTATTTGAGGCGTCTGATGTTAATGATAAAGAAGCATCTGGTGAGATGAAAACAGCTAACGTTGCGTTAGCTATACTGCTTTTGCATTCTTCAAATGCTTTTTCTGCTTTGGATGTCCAATTAATAATCGTTTTGTCGTTCTTAACCGAATTTTTTAAATATTCAGTTAGAGGAGCTTGTTTTTCTGCGAACTTAGCAATGCAACAGCGATAGTAATTAATCATTCCCATAAATCGGCGAAGTTCTGATACATTGGTAGGCTTTGAATAATTAATGATAGCATTTATTCTCTCTTGTGGAGGTTTGTAACCATCTTTGCTAATGTGGTAGCCTAAAAATTCTACTTGACTTTGACCTAATTTGCATTTAGCAACGTTCAACCTGAGTTGGTTTTCTTTTAATCTTTGTAAGACAATTTTTAAATGTTTTTGATGTTCATTGGATGATTCGGACATAATGATGATATCATCTACGTAACAGAAAACGAAGTTTAGGTCTCGAAAAATTGAGTCTATGAATCGTTGACAAGTTTGAGTAGCATTCTTCAAACCGAAAGGCATATATAAATACTCATACAAACCAAAAGGAGTTGTGATAGCGGTTTTTTCTATGTCATCATGATTCATTGGTATTTGATGATAAGCACGTTCCAAATCCAAAATTGAAAATATTGTCTTGTTGTATAGTTTTTCAAATAGACTTTGTATTAGCGGTGGTGGATATTGATCTGGAACTGTTTGAGCGTTTAGCCTTCTAAAATCACCACATGTTCTCCATCCCCCTGATTTCTTCTTTACTAAATGAATTGGACTGGCCCATTGACTTTTTGATGGCCGTAGGATGCCTTGATCCAATAAAAAGTTTATCTCGCTTTTAGCTGCTTTTAATTTTTCACCAGAAAGTTTTCGCGGTCTTTCAGCAGTCGGTTGACCTGTTGTTACTATGTAATGAGAAAGAGTGCGCTTGTTTATAAGTTTTGGATCTATATTTGGTTGAGTTATCTCATAGAATTTTTTAAGGATGCCATTGAAATCTATCTGATCTGAAACTGTAGAAATGCTAAAAATTTCAGCATGAATTAGTGTACCATGTGACGAAACAGTTGTCTTTGAGTCCAATAGTCTTTGGTTTTTAAGATCTAGTACCAACCCGTGGTAGGATAAAAAATCGGCGCCAATTATTGGTAAAGTTACATCTGCAATTAAAAACACCCATTTGAAAGTTCGACGTAAACCTAGATCAAGTTGCATGATTTTATTTCCATATGTTGAGATAGACGAACCATTTGCTGCAAATAAATTTAGATTTAAAGATTTGAAAAATTTGTTACCAGGACAACACTTGAGTGGCAAAACAGATACTATTGATCCGGAATCAATTAAATATTTTAGTCTGCTTGTTTTGTCGTACACATGTAGTCTGAATTCTTTTTGAGACATTTGCGGCGGCCTGTCACCCACTGTCTCCATGACTGACAGTTTTTTTAGTTTTCCGAATTTTTGTTTGAAGAAAATGTGCAAGGAGTGACACATTTGTATGCTTTATCGCCAAATTTCTTGTGATAAAAACAAAGTTTTTGTGTTGCTGGAGTTCTAGAACGCTCACGTGAATAAGATCGTAGATGTAATTGTTTTTCAATTGAATCTAGTCTAGTTCTGATGTCACTGGAGAAAGACATGAACAACTGTTCAAACTTCTTAATTGTTATATCTGTAGAGTCTTCAGACATTTTAGATTTCATGCTGGTAGCCATGACGTAGTTGTCTCGTTGACTTTGTTCCATTATGTTGTCCGCTACTCTTGCTAAAGTTTCCAGATCACATTTATCAGTTACTGTTAATAGTTCACGTACATGTTGAGGTAATTTATTTTTCCACATAGACGTTAAATATTCTTCATCAAGACGAGGTGCAAGTTCTTTCATTTTTAGTAATAATTGTGTTGGCTTTGTGTCTCCTAATTGAAGATCATTTATTAGCGTCAACAACTGCTTTTCGCTGGATAGAGTCAGGCGTTTTATTAAATTTTGTTTTAAATATTCGTATTTATTTTCAATTGGTGGATCGCGAAGGATGTCTGTCACCAATTCGATGACATCTAAATCCACAGCACCAACCACAGCGTCATATTTAGCCAAATCCTTTTCTATCCCCTTGGACCTGAATCGTGATTCAACTTGTATAAACCATAGATCAGGCTTATTCTTCCAAAACTTAGGTAAATTTGCATCTTGAATAGAATGCACCAGCGTTGATGTTACATGCTTTTCGTCACAAACATCAGCATTTTTTGTTTGTGTATTGTTGTTGTCTTGCTTTTTTTTATTCATTTTGATTTTTTGTTTTATTTGGTGTTGTTTAATATTGCAGTGTTATTTTCAGTAGGGGTCACCAGTTGTAGTTGCACAAACCACATTAATTTTCTATACACTATCAGTTAAATAAAAACACGTTGTTATTCTTGTGCACACTTTAGCTAGACTTTTTGTCTCTTCTTTTTATTGTTATCATTCTTATTATTAACTCTACACACTTTTTACCAAAAAACTACTTTTTGTAGTTTTCACCGCATTTGGCGCTTGGCACGCTTTTTGTGCTGCCACAGAGTATCAGGACTGGTGACACCTAGTGGTGGAATTTAATTTAATATAAGAAATAGAAATTGAAAGAATGTATAGCAACCTTATACACAAACCACCTGTTTGCAATGATGCAGACAGACGCTGGTGAACTCTAACCGGTTGCTCTGAAGTGGGATCCAGTAAAACAGTAAAATACTTAAATGCGGTTATTTTTGTTTTTTAAAATATACTAACTTTTATTTCGAAAGTTTTTTTGTGTTTCGGCAAATTCGCTTTTGCCTTCATCAGGAGAATTCCTAATATTAAAACATCTAGCAATCTTACAAACTATTTATACTATAAACATGTTATTTTTAATACTAAACTTAATATTAATAAATCCTAAGGTTATTGTCCTTGGGGGTGACAGGTAAGAGATGGTGGCGGGGTTGGTCTGGTGTTGTTTTTATTTTACATACAGGTAGTTAGGTCGACTGGTTGTCGGTTTTTTGGGATGTATCTAAAAAGGCACGATGACACGTTGCCTTTGTCGCCGTTGAGTAAAGTTGTGGTCTGATATTTATGAATTTCGATGCTTTCTGCCGTTTCTAATTTCCAGCTATCTCTTACATTTTTGATTATTTGGGCGTTTTCCCTGTTGATTTGGTGATTTTCCTTTACTATATGTCTGGCGACATTTGATTTTATGTGGGGGTTCATATTCTTCGGTGCTTCTCTTACTTCCTTCAGGTGTTCTTCAAGTCTTACTGATAAGGGTCTTTTGGTTTGTCCGATGTATACTTTGTTGCAGGAGCCACACTCTATTTTGTATACTCCGCATTTTTCGAATGGGTCAATTGGGTCTTTTGCGGATGGTAAAAGGCATTCAAGTTGGTGTGGTCTACTAGAGTGAACTAAGTCGATATTGAACTTTTTTAACTTAGATTTTAGACCTTTCGAGTGTTATTGTATACTACAGCGACTCTTCTTTGTTTTGGTTTTTCTGCTGTCAATGTCGTCATGTTCCTGGAATGTAGTTGCCTTCGTTTCTTTTTTATGATTCTATCGATGGTGTTTTGAGGGTATCCGTTGATGTCCGCTATTTCTTTAATGTATGTAGTTTCTTCATTGATGGCTGCTTGTGTAAGGGGTAGCGTGAGCATTCTATGTATCATGTGATGAAAAGCAGCCATTTTGTGTTGGAATGAATGGTTTGAATTTTTGGTTATGACACGT